ATTTATTTATTTTGAGAGAGAGAGAGAGAGGGAGAGAGAGAATCCCAAGCAGGCTCCTCACTGTCAGCCCAGAGCCTGATGCAGGGATCGAACTCACTAACCACGAGATCATGACTCGAGCCGAAATCAAGAGTCGGACGCTTAAACGACTGAACCACCAGACTCCCCTATAATTCTCTTTTTTTTTTTTTTTTTAATTTTTTTTCAATGTTTTTTATTTATTTTTGGGACAGAGAGAGACAGAGCATGAACGGGGGAGGGGCAGAGAGAGAGGGAGACACAGCATCGGAAACAGGCTCCAGGCCCTGAGCCATCAGCCCAGAGCCTGACGCGGGGCTCGAACTCACAGACCGCGAGATCGTGACCTGGCTGAAGTCGGACGCTTAACCGACTGCGCCACCCAGGCGCCCCTATAATTCTCTTTTTAAAATGCATCCCCTCCTATCATTAAAAAGGTGCTCACCTTCCTGGGTCATCAGGGAACTGCAAAGTAAAAACCACAATGAGCTGCAATTACACATCCACCAGAGCCCGTACATTGAGAAAAGATGGAATGTGTCAAGTGTTGGCAAGGATAGGAAGCAGTAAACTGCTGATATACAGATGCATATATATATATATATATATATATATATATATATACACACATATATGCATATACATATTCATACACTGACTTCACAAAACTTTCTGCCTGTCCTGTGTCTACTCAGGCTGAACACATGCATACCCCATGACCCAGAAATTCCATATCGAGTGTGGTTGCAACAGAAATGTGTGCACATGCTCCACAAACAGCATGTTCTGGGAGGTTCACAGCAGCTGCGTTCAGAAGAGTCAAACACTGGACACTATCCAAATGTCCATCAACAGTAGAAAGGATGAGTAAATTGTGGTGCAGTCACAGCACGGAACACGACCCAACAAGATTGAACCCATAGCTCCACACGAGAATATGGACAAAGTTGACCACTGTTAGCTTTGAGAAAAATAAGCCAGAGACAGAAAGCCTGTATGTTGTATGTTTTCATTTATGTGAAATGCAAAAGCAGGCAAAACTCATCCAGGATAATGGGGTGCTGGAGGCAATAACTGGAAGGGGCGTGAAGGAGGCTTTTGGGTGCTGTTAATGCTGTCTTTCTTCACCTGGGTACTGGTGATAAGGAATGGTCCATTTGTGAACATTTAGTAAGTTTGTGATATGTGTACTTTTTTGTATGTATATTACATGTCAATGAAATGTTTATTTATTTTTTTTAATATTTTATTTTTAAGTAATCTCTATGCCCAGCCTAGGGCTCGAACTCACAGCCCCGAGATCAAGAGTTGCACACTCCACTGACTGAGCCAGCCAAGAGCCCCCTCAATAAAACGCTTTAAAAAAAATTCTCCTCCTTCTGATGACTTAATGGAGATAAATCTCAACTTGGGTCTGGCTGGCCTTTAATTCTTCTCTTTTGACTGGCTCATCTTTTGTCAACCAGAGGAGTATGCCAGGCTCACAGGCTTCAGCAGGCAACTGTATCCAGCTTGAATTGAATAGCATTGTTTTGTTTTCATTGTGTTTATTTTTATGGTTGCTATCTATCTATGGCCATCAATCCTGGTATTTCGTTTATGGTAGTGATATAAAGTTTATTTTAAAAATAGCTTTTAGTTGCAAAAAAAAAAAAACAAAACAGTGAATTGACTTAATGTTAAAAAAAATCTTATGTAAATAAAAGTACAGGTGGTACTTGGTGAAGGTAAACTTATGGGGGTGGAGTTTGTGAAACACTTTTCAAATGGAAAAAGGCAGGGATTAGGGCGAGAGGAGAAAACCAGTTTCAGCCTGTCCCCATCTCTGGAAAAGTCCCCGATGCCCGGGCACAGCCAGTGTCTCAGGACTAAGGACATATCCTTTGCCGAGGACTCATGAGCGATTTAGAGTAAGGTGTGCTCCAGGAACAGTGGGCACAGCAGGGACAAGTACAGACAGCCTGGGTTCGCTCAACAAACCTTTGTAGAGCTTCCTGGTCAAGCTCCTCTGCTTCTCCAGGCTTCAGTGGATGGCAGGTGTTCTGTGATGGAAGCTGTAGCAGCAGCAGCAGCCTGGAGTAGAACTCTGAACCGCACGGGGGTGTGGAAAGGGCTTAAGGAGATAGGTTCAGTGGTGATGGGTACGGAGCCCGACACGGGGCTTGAACTCACCAACCGCGAGATCATGACCAGAGCCGAAATCAAGAGTTGGGATGCTCAATTGACTGAGCCACCCAGGAGCCCCGTAAAACTGACACTTAACCAGGAAACTAGGACAAAAGAATTGGGTTTTGGTCTTCAGGCTCATTCGAGAGAAATCTCAGGGAGTTTGTGCTTTTGTCAAGTTAGTCTCACTTTGCTCATCTCCCCAGTTGTTGGCTGAGAGATTGAGAACTTTAAGCAGGGCTGGAATGGGGGTGCTTGGGTGGCTCAGTAGGTTGAACTTCCGACTCTTGATTTCGCCTTGGGTCAGGAACCCCAGGGTCATGGGATCAGGCCCATGTTAGGCTCGGTGCTGAGTGTGGAGCCGGCTTAAGATTCCTTCACTCCCTCTGTCTTTCTCACCCACTCACGTGCTCTCTCTCTCTAAAACAAAAAACCAAAAACAACTAAACAGAGCTGGAAAGAGAATGAATCTCAAATGGTAAGGGAGTAGCTGAATGAATGAGTGAATGACTGTCTCTCCTGTCCCCTCAGTAGGTTCATTGCTACCTTTCCCAGCTGCCAGACCTAGCAATGAAGACTGAGAAGGAGGGGTCCTGCCCGGAGTACTTTTCGAAACACTACTAGTCATTCATTCACTCATTTATTCATTCAACATACTTCCTGCGTGCGCACTAGGTGCCAGGAGCTGTATTTTAGACCCGCGCCCTGTCCAAATGATAACTGCTAGCCACACGTGAGTATTTCAGTTTTGGCGAGTTCAAACTGAAATGTGCTCTAAGCGTAAAATACATCTCAGCGCTTGAGGATTTAGCATGAAAAAAGGAATGTGAAGTATTTCTTTAATAATTTTTAATATTGATCACATTTGAAAATATTTTGAATACAATGAGTTAAAGTATTTATTAAAATGGGTTTCACCTGTCTCTTTTTACCACATTTTAACGTGGCTCCTAGAAATGTGAAAATTGCACGCGGGGCTCACATTTGTGCTCTGCGTTCGATTTCCACTGGGCAGTGTCACGCGGGACACTCTCCCTACTCTGAAGGCACGCAGACCCTAGTGGGTGAGAAGAGCAGAAACAAATGTTACCAGGCAGGCATAGGGTACACCCAGGAGCAGGCACCCGGAGCCTCCCCTCCACTGTTGTCTCTTTATTTCTTTCGGATCTGCATCACATACAGCGCTAGTGATTTCCCGAAGTTCAGCAATGTGGGTTTCACTCCTCTGCTCAAATATGGAGGCCGACCGAATCCCCTGCCCGCTCAATGAAGCCACACCTCCTCCCAAGTCCACTGGATTTCCTGCCAGTGCCCCCCACCCCCTAGCACGCTGCTGGCCAAAGTGGACTTCCTTTCTCCAACCTCACTTTCCCACTTCCGTGCCCTTGCTTTGGTCCCTGTGCTCCAGCTGTCCTTCTATCCCTGGCTTCCCCCTGGTAGAATTCTTAAGTTTCAATTTCAATTCGGATTCACCCCTGACCCCCACACCCTCATCACTTCTCCATCTAAATATATTTCTCCTCCTCCAAGCCTCCGACAAACTGGTTATTTGTTCATCTTCCCCCAAACACTGTTAATTCCTTAAGCCAGAACGTGCCGTCCCTGGGGCATCTCGCTCACCTTCAGGGCCAGGTGGCCACTGGGTGAGCAGCGGCGGAGTTCTTGAGTTCGGTCAAATGGCTCTGAGTCATAAAGTTAGAGCTGCCGTGGAGGGGGCTCCGGCAGGGGGAAGGGGTGGCGGCGGTATCGGGGAAATTAAACCTGGGCTGGAGGCAGCTTAATGGTCCATCCCGGGCCAAGACAATCTCTCTGACTAGGGCCTTTGTTAGGGTCACAACCCAGGGACTTGCGTGAGAATTAAAGCCTGGTCAAGCCTGGAATGCGGGGGCTTGGAGGCAGCAAGGAGAGAAGACTCAGTAAATCAAACAGAACAATGGAGGGAGGCCATCCTTGTCGATCTGCACTGCTGGAGAGCTATGAATGCCCTTACCCCTGGGCTTTCTCTTACACCTGGAAGGCTGATCTGACCTCTCCAAGACCCCCGAGGCAGGGTGTTTTTGGGAATCTCTCCTGCAGCAAATGCCTCCAGATGGGAGAGTGGAGGCAACTGAGCGATTACTTGGGGGAGGGGGGACAGAGTAGGCAGAGAGGAAGGGAGCAGGTTTCTCAGTGCCCAGAAATTGCATTTCTGGTAATTATATGTTACCAGATGCTTGCAGGGTTGGGAAACTGCAGTGGTCACTAAGAGGGGCTGTTCGGGGCTGGGCTGCTTGAGAGGATGTGAACCTTCTTCTGATGGGCTCACAGAACAAAGTCGTTGCCCCAAGCAACATACCAGCACCGAGTGGAAACCAGAGGCTGGAGGGAGATGGAGACGGTGGACTGAAACCTACATGAAGGTCAGGACTGTCTCGCGTCCTTTGCATTGCCCCAGCAGTTAGCCCAGTGCCCGCCACACGGGAAGCGCGCAAACTAAGTCCTTCCAAACTGAAAACAGGAGACAAAAGCGCGCACTTTTCTGCACTCTTGTGCCTGTCCTATTCAAACCCCCAAGTTACTCGCACTCCCGGGGAGTCAGGGAGCCCGAGGTAGAAAGTGTGTGGAGGCACTGGGGGCCCGAGGTAGAAGGGGGCAGGGGACCCGCAGAGCAGAGAGACGCGCGGGGGTGGGCGAGTGGGCGTGCGCGCACGCACAGGCGGGCGCGCGGGAGTGTCGGGGGAAGGGGGTGGTCTCCAAAAGGGGGAGGGGAGAAGGCAGGGGGCGGGGAGAAGCAGGGCCCTTTAGGACCCGGCTGCGGCTGCGGGGGAGGAGGAAGAAGCTGAGGAGGCGGCTCCCGCGCTCGCAGGGCCGTGCCACCTGCCCGCTCGCTCGCCGCCGTCGCGCTCACCACCGCCAACATGCTGCCGAGACTGGGCGGCCCCGCGCTGCCGCTGCTCCTGCCGCCCTCGCTGCTGCTGCTGCTGCCGCTGCTGCTGGGCGCCGGCGGCGGCCGCGGGGTGCGCGCCGAGGTGCTGTTCCGCTGCCCGCCCTG